CACTCTGCCCAAAATATGCACGTACAGCGCTCTGATAAATGTTATACATTTATCGAGCACACCTTCCCTGTGCAGACAGTCCCAAACTGCACATCAATCCGCCGAATCGAAGGCACATTTGTTGTCGAAAAACATGATTACGGTGGGTCACCAATAAATAAGGCGGTGATCCAACAACCGACGTAAGGTGAGCGTGTGGTCCATGCAGTCTTTGTTTCGGCGAAACCCAGTATGCTGCTCGTGATTCAAATTGCACAGCCGCCAACTAGTCTGTGGAGAACGACCAAGGCAAGCAACTTGGAGGCAATTTAGACCACCAAGAATGTCGCATTCCGAATGTCAGTCTCCCTTTAAAAACGTAATTAGGACAGAGCGGGTCCAATCTATTTGAATAGTCTCCCGCTCCAACAGCTTCTCAAGTGGTTTGTGCAAATCATGCATGAGCGCTCGCCCGCGAATTCGAAGGTTGGAGGAAATCTATCTGGTCCGACGGTCGTGTGAGATTTCAACCGTCTGATCTCATGTTCGACATCTGTGAGTGAGGGCGGATAAGGCATCACTAGGAAGAAACGCGCTAAATAGGCGGACAAAGTCGGTAACATACTGATTAAATTACTTCCTAAAATGTAAGTCCTAACGCTGTAAGCATTTTGCCAAGTTGTGGATTGGCTGTCCACTCTCGTCGCTTATGTGCGCGCTAACATCAGGTTTTCAGCTGTCCGTTTCCCGTATCAGACGGAATAAGTTACGATGATTACCAACGGCATCGGCTGTCTCCACCTCCGATGCATGGCGAGACCACCAGGTTACGCGATTACACTTCCTTATAGTCACAGTTTTGCCCTGAAGTCTCTGAGAGTCATATTGTGTTCGCATTTAGAGCAATGGGTCGGTAAGCATCCAGAGGTTCCAGAGATCCAATATCCAGGTTAGCAGTTAGATTTGCCACAGGAAGACATGTCTACCGAGAGCAAGGTTTGGCGACTATGTAATCAGTGATCTTCAACTGTGCATCTATGCGTTTACAGCGTCGCCGGATGAGTCCATCAAATCGGTACAAACGGGTACGTGGTCAGAGTCCACGTTTTTTCTCCAAATCGAGCGACAGTTTTTGGATATGGCTTCTCCAAAGGTAACTAATCGCGATGTGATCGACCTGCGTCCATGACTGGTCCGAGGCTGGTAGACCCCATGTCACCCTCCGACGGGTGTTACGTCGGAAGTTATTGCCTACAAAAATTGACGAGCATCTTCGTAAAAAGTAGCAAGCGCGAACCGTTATCATTACGGGAACCTGCACTGTGTTGTTCATCCAGATGCAGCTTATCAGTGGACAATTTTCCAACTAGAGAGTTCAGATCGCCAGCAAGTACCGCAGTAACCGTACTTTTCTATTACGAAAGAGTTCGTTAAGTTGATGATAGAAATAATCTTGCACTGAGTCTCTGCTACAGTTTGTGGAGGCGTATGCAGCAATGATAATCAGGCACCGTTTGTCCTCTCGTGACCTATAAGCTATGTACCAACCAGCCAATCTGGCGGTGCATATCTGGTTGCTGACTAAGATCCAATCGATCAGAGCACCATCAGCCCAAGGACTCTAAGCAGTGCACACAGTGGCCTGACCAGAAGCGGCGTCATCTACGGAGAAACGTAGTGGGAAAATGACGCAAGCGACGCATGTAGGGATTGCAAGGTAAGCGCAGAGCTCGAAACTAGCAAACGGTGTTCCGATAAGCGGCAGTGTAGATTGACAGGGTCTCTAGTGTTCAGGCAAGTGCTGACTGTTAGCCCGTCTGTGCACGTTGAGCCACGCCAGTCTTAGCGAGGGCTGCAGGAGAAACGGATGAAATGACGTTGTCCGCTTGGTTAAAATATGGGCTTGTCGACTAGATTGGAGTGACGCCTTGTGATTGGGTGTGAGTTGAAAATAGGAGAGACGACTATTGAAGCAAGATGGGGGAGGACCAAGAATTGGGGGATAAAAACGGAGATAAAATGAAGTTAGTGTGGGACGACAAGGATAATAAAGCACAAGAGGAGTAAAAAGACGAGAAGGGTTGAGCAATAGCATTCTCACCTCTATACACTGCTTAGATGCATCAAAGAGTGCGCCGTTGACTTTCTTCGACGTCAAGAGCATCAAGAAAATGTGTGAAAGGTTCATGGAGACAGTCCACTCTAGAAACTTTTGGAAGCATTTCTAGACTATTTCGACCATTGGTCACAGGAGGCCTGGCATCAGTGAGTCTGTCTGCGAGTTTGATGGATCACTTTACAACAATTTGAACAGGTGCATAATGCAGGCCACTCTGGAACAGTGGCAAGATGTGAGCAAAAGTGGTCTCACGTAGTTGCTAGGAGAGTTTGCGCTCATGGGTAAAATGCGCCGTTAGGATAGTAAAAATAGGTCTCGCCGAAGAATTGATAGAGCGTTGAAACGGCAAACTGCTATTTGAAAAAGGCTTCATGAGGCCGTTGGGTTACGTAGACGCTTGAGCTACGAAAATGGCGAATCTTAAAGTGTGCATCTCTTCGTGAGAGAAGGATATCGCAAACGTGAAAGAAAGTGGTTGTAGTGGCGATCTAATAACTATAAGCTTGCTAGTGAGAAGTAGATTTATTATTTTTGAGAAAATTCATCGTAATTAGTTTTAGGCAGACCGATACTACACGCCTAAGAAAGTCATAGACGGCCGTTTCATCCTGCATGCATGGCAGTAAAGGACGAACCGCACTATATCGCTGTTGAATCTGTCTTGGCTGTCAACCGCCGTCGCCCATGGCGCTGTAGCATAAGTCAATGACTCGTAAGGGTAAGGTCATGGGTTCGAAGCCGACAGGATTCGGCGGGTGCGCGCTACTGGGGAGTCCAAATAGGACGAAACGGTCACCTACAGCTCTCTTGAGCGTGTGGTAGCTGTCTGGTTGGATGTAGCTGCGACGAAGCTTTACAAGAAACTATAGATTTGTTATTCCGACTAGCGTTCACCTAAAATGTCTAGAAAACGTTATTAAAACCGACCTTTCGAACGTCACAGTGGCTATGGGAATATCAGTAGCACTGCAACATACCGAAGCTGCCATGTGATTACCACCGGCCGCGCGTGGGCTGAGTATACTGTGAGGTCGCGCGCACTGACGCGGATTCGAATCCGTGAGCTCCGGATTATTATGCAAGCACGTGATCCTTCCGGATCCCGGCCAACCTACACAGCGTGCCGGTATACTGTTGATGCCTTGACTTTCTTGACTGCCTATGACTTGATCGGAGCAAAACGGCATGGCTTCACCAGGAAAAACTACCTTGCAAACTTGCTGTTTTCTTGAGGAAATAGCTCGATGACTTGAGGGGGATCTCCATAGAAGGTTGATCCTTTGATGCCTGCATAGCTACGGATCATCATTTCTTGCCGGAAAAGGAGGTGGTTTGAACTCCACCCTTAGCCGCTTTCTAAGTATTTCGCTTTTCTTCTGTAGGGCATCTCGTGCTGAAGTTAGTGTTGGTGCTTCAAGCAAACGAACCACTAATAATGGAGTTCCCCAGGGCTCATTGCCATAGCTTCTAGTTATAAATGACTTGGCACATAGCATTAAAGGTCACAGACAGGCCTTGTAAGCTGAGGGCGCGGACTCGAGCCTGTGCATGGGCCGGGCGACCCTCGCAGAATTCTTAGCCCACTGCGACCGGTGGTGGTTGTGCGGCAGCACAGCGTATATACTACTTACCAGTGTACTGCAAAGGCCATTTTGATCCATCTTCTTGAAGATCTTTTCTATGTTTTTATGAGCTCAAGATTGTCAGTAGAAGTGACAGGGTGACACTATCTGCAGCTTTTAGTGTGGGTATCAACTGGTCACCATTAAGGACTTACCTCATAAAGCCAGCAAATTCAAAATCCCAAATCCGCGTGGTGAAGATTGCAATAATGTATCTATTAGATTGCTGACATTGCAACATGTTAGCAAAGCATGCGATTTAGATATCACCGTGAGAAATGACTTAGGGTCTTTAGCGCAGTACAGGTATTCTGCTAACAAAGCACGAGATGAGTTATTTCGATTGTGAAGGGCTAAGTTGTACTAAGCAAGAGGACTCCGCCGGTATAAAGCGGTGGTCAGAGCACAACTGAAATAGTCTTCAGACCTAGGTACCCTACCTGCAGAAACATATCATTAACAGTAAGAATGTTTAAGGACTAACCACTCATGCGTCACCGTATGAAAACCGGTTACCTATCTGGAAATCGTTTGCAACAGAAAAAGATGGACTGATAGTTAGCTTAATATAGGTTCAAAATCGTGAAGGGCTTCATACCTGCCGATTTCTTTGAACCAGCTACATCATATAACTTGTTCGGCCATTGTATGAAATGGTAACAGCAAGGTTTTCGGCTAGATATGAGTCGTACTTGGAAAAACGAGTTGTGCCTAGTTAGAAAAAAGGGCAGCTCATCAGTACGCCGGTACGCAATACTGTAGCAACGCTGCCGCGCAACCACCACCGGTCGCACGTAGGCTAAGGATACTGCGAGTGTCGCCCGGTCCCTACGCAAGCGCAAACCCGCGCCCTCAGATTACAAGGCAGGTTTGTGGTCGTTAAAGTTACCGCCCGAGGAAATTAGTATGAAAATGTAGATGGTTTCATACCACCACTAGACGGGGGTTAGGTGACCCTCTTTCCCGAATATCCATGGTTACCCGGCAGGCGCGGTATACTACCTAACAAGTTACGCAACCATGAAAATGCTGCAGTGCGTTTGTTTCGGCTTCTGCTTTCTTTATTTTGGACGTAAGAACATTATACCAATCGCAGTGCCGTAGGCTCCATTTCACTTACTATCATACGAAACCTAATCCTTATCAGGCAAAAGCTTGTTTCTTTTATGGAATTTCTTATGTCTTGACCAGTGTGAATCTGAGAACATTTTGCATTAAATTAAAAACCCTGCATTAAATTAAAGTTCAAAAAGCCTATAAAAATTTCAGAAAAAGCGTACCTCTAAACCTTCTTCACCGAGATGTTGTATTGCATTCTCCAACACTGAAAGTCCGACGTCGAGAGAGCCATTGAATTCAGGAGGCGAAACGTTTAAACGCACAACGTGTTCGTGTAGAGCGCTAGACGATTTGTAAATTTCTTCAACTTCATCATCCAAATCGAACTCAGAGAACTGCTCCGCGATACGTTGTTCTAACTGACGAAGTTATGCGAAAAGGTTAGAAAATTAACCTCGTGGTGTAATCGCGTATTCTCTTGGTCAAGCTCCGCGTCATACACATTATCAAAGAGTTTATGCAAGTTAACTGATCCAGTAGACATAAGAGAAAGTTCGTTTGCACGTTAAACCGAAGGAATTAGGGGAGCAACGCCGTCAGTAGGTGACTGAGAATAACACTGGGTGTTCTTCTGTTGCACAGACGGAATCATTCAGCAAACCAATTGAAATCTGCTGTAGCTTATTAGAAGCCATTTTTGCTCCTACTGGCTGCATAATACATAAGCACAAACAAACTCCTACCTTACTTTGCTAAGTACAAATACAGGCAAAAGATGAACTTCTTCCATAGATGAACATTTCATAATACTGCTAACCTCATGGTTATATCATATGAGCAATAATAATCTTTGCAAAATATGTGAGGTTTTTGCATGATGTCATCAAGTTGCACTAGTTAGCATGCAAAGTTATGCATAGATTACTTCCATTGTTTGTCATACGCTTTTGGTACACAAATGTTAATATTGTTCTTATCTATATAGTTCCTGTCAAATATGCAACTTATATTCTCCAACCGCAACATCTTCAGCATACCGTATGGAACCCCTCCTCTGCTAACGAAAGGTAGCGAGGACGAAAAACCGCAGGCAAACACAAAGATAATCATTGGTGTATAAAAACTAATTTCTCTTGTAATTTAAGCCCGAGTAACTTTCACGAAACCATTACTGAGGCACAATAGGAACTCCGTTGCCATATAGCTTTAGGTACGTCAAGCGTTACTACTTATGGCCTCGAGAAGTTTGTATGACCATGTTGCATGAGAGCTATGGGGTTGCGAAAATTTGCTTAGAATTGCCATCACATCTTTGCTCCTGCATTTCACTTCACTATGGCTGATGTAACCCAGGACATGGCTCTTTGTTAAACTTGGCTGCATTTTAGAAGTCGGCTTGTTCATTTACCGGATGTGTTCCTCCTCTGAATCGCAAAACTCGGGCATTCGGATTCGACGTCCTGTGCCTCAGTCCTGGTCTCCTGGCTAACATCACGTGAGCTCGTTGCATTAGTTGCTTCGTTTAGTTATTCGTTTTAGTGGTATTAATCCACAGTGTTTAGAGTTGTAGTTAGTATCCTTGTATATTTTATTGTTTTAATGCTTGTGCTTATTTGTATTTCGTCGTTACACCTGCATCGATTTGGTCATTTATTCCTATCCTACTATCTAGCCTTTACTTATTTTCGGCGTGACTATTACCTACCCTTAGCAATGACAGCGGTGGCCGGCAATAAATTTGGTGAGCACACGTGCTTCGAGGTCAAAGAGGGAATTCAGTAAATAATTAAATAAATAAATAAACTTTTATTCTCGACAATGCGAGGCACACCTGTACAGGCATGATCATGTTTAGCCAACATAGTGTGATCAAAATGTACAAAGAGTACATGTTTGGCATAACAGTGAATGTAATTGTATGGGTGTATATATGTATGCAATTGTCTATGAATGTAGCTTGTATTTTTGAATGTGCCGCAGAATTTTCGACTATTTGTTATCGGTAGGAATGTGAGAATAAGCGATTGACGTCCGTGTGTTGGATACCATTTTTCGGATGTCCACGGGCCAGTGACTTTATTTTGTGGCTAGTCACATCCGCCACGTCACAGTGTTGATAAGCAGACATTTGTGGCTTTTTATAGGGAGAACGCTTGCCAGGCGAAAGCCCACCACGTCCTGGAACACTGCCGCCGAACTATTTGCTGGAACAGGTTAAACACGAACCACCCAGCTGGCACCACGAGGAGGTTGTTCGGCTAGCCAATTGCTCTAGATTAGACTAGGGTTCTATTGAGCTGTTTTTTAAATTGAAATGCAGTTGTTTCCAGTGTGTGTGCTTTGCAGACACTTGTTCACGCTTGATGCATGATCGGACTTCGATCAAATTACTCATGTCTTGCTTTACATGATTCTGCTGGTAGGAACGGCGTGCATACGCTAGCCAATGAGATAAGGTCGGTTTGTGACCAGAGCCTATTAATTGTGACATTGCGTTCAAAATTCGATGAGTTACAGTCGCTATTGGCGTGTTACTTGCGAAGTGTAGTACTTGTTACCGATACGTTCTTGTCTGCAATAGGGAGGAGCCAGATTTAAGGCAAGCTAAAACTCGATGGGACCTAGTTAGAATGCGAGGGTACGAAGTCTTTCGCATAGCACGAATACCGTTGTACGTCGGTAACAAAAAACACATTATGTTGGCTGCTGGTGAGAAACTGGTATGCTTCGCCAACAAGGTTATACAAGGCCTTCCTGGTGTTTAGGAACCCAGTACAACGCAAGCTACTACTTAACAAAGCAGAATAGGTTGCTACTCAAAAAACGGTCATTATCAAATAGCGTTGTGCAATTACGCCATAGACAACCTCACCTATTTGCTTGGGGCACACGAATTGCAGACTAGTTCCCAGGAACGTGACCTTGATGTGTACGTACAGAGCGGCCTCAGTGGTTCAAAACAGGCTTAGGTAGCTGTGAAAAAAAGCAAGCAGCACCTCGGTATGTTGCGAACGTCATTCTGGAGAGTCGACCCATTAATCTTCCCTATGATGCTCCATTCATATGTGTACCCGAATTTTGAATACGCCATCCAAGGTTGGTGACTTTGGATGAAGCGCAACTTAGAAACGTGACACACACCACAACGAAGAGCAACAAAGAATGTAAAGGGCCTGCGCTATCACTCTTACCACCGAAGGTTGAAGTTGCCACGAATTTTCAGCGGACGCTATCGAAGGCTGCGTGGTGATCTCATTTTAGCCTATCAGATATTGAGTTCCCCCAAGCACGTAGACCGCCATTTGCTGGAGCTTAACCACAGCACGCAGCTCAGGGGTACATGCTTAAATTTGCAGGACCAATATAGGCGTCTAGAGTGTCGACGTAATTACTTTCCCTTCGGGTTTGCCAACCCGGGAACACACTGTCAAACTCTGTTGTACCCTCCCCTACCTTAAATGTATTTACAAACCGATTAGACATTGCTTCTTGCTCCTAGCTTGTCGCTGCCTAAACGCCCGTATTGTGGAGTACGCCAAGGATATGTTGCTACAAGATTTATCTATCAAATGTTCGGTTTAACAACACTGCGACGCGGCGGATGTGACACGCCACACAAAAATGTCACCTTCCCAAGCACACATTGATGAGTTGACCGATGCTACGTTTACAAATTCTGTGCATATATCTGCTCCCGTACGAACAAGCCTACCTATTTGATCAGTTTCATGACGGTATTCTTAAATATTTTTGTAGCTTTTTCCTAGTGCTTCACTCACCTGACCCACGCTCTGTACACAACCTTTTCGGACTAGTTCCTCATCAACTTGATTCACATCAGTGATCTGATACTTATCCCTACATCTCGCATTCTGTGAACATAGACTTCGTACAACCTTTGGGCCACGTGGGTCCACACTACTGACTCCAGCTGCACTACTCTCTATCTGGGTGTTGCTAAGCATGCTATCACTACACTACTGCAATATGCTGATCATGCCCAAAAGGCGTGCCTCGCTTTTTTCGAGAACAAAATATTTATTTATTTATATATAAGTGAGCGACCCTAAATTACTTTTCTCACGCCTTAGGTCTGTGATAACTGCACCCAAGCGTATTTCTGAACGTTTACGCTCAATATGTTTAAGTTTACACTGAGGTTATTTGGCAAAGTATTCATTTTGGCTGGCTTTTAGTAGCTGACCCACATATAGCTTGCTTTTATCCTATTCCACTCAACCATCCTACGGGTAGTGACAAGCACTTGCTTTTACCTCCGTGGTAACTCATTGTTCGTCGTTCAGTTTAGCACCGGAAACACTAATTTCGAAGGATAAAGCCTTCGGATTAGTCCGTTAGAAGGTACAAATACCAGTTTGGCTAACGAACCTGGGGCCTCGCAAGCTGGAATTCGCGATGGTGTGTCTCACCTTACGCAGAGACCTAAGCAAAGCGCTAGCCACTACTCTACTTTGGTAAGTGCAGTCTGCTGCTCTGGACAATACGCCGCACAAGACGCCAGTGAGCAGACACTTGGCCTGCATTTGGTTGTGGAGGAAGTTGCTCTTGATGGAAATGCTAAGCACACCTCTATGGCGTGAGAGGGTAAGGAAGTTGGGGCGATGGGACTTCAGGCGGCGCGTTCAAAAGCAACTAAACAAATAAATAACTAAATATTTCATTTTATGCATTGCGGAGCATGCCTGCAAATGCATAATTGTGACTGAAGCCTCGTGCTCCATAGCACTGGCACCAAAATCCATGGCTGATGTGACTATTTCACAAAATAATAGGGAAAATGCAGTGCTTGCCCTACAAAACATAGTCAATACCGAAATTCCGAAGTGCAGTGCTCTTAGGTCGACTCGGTTAAATGGAGAAGGGCCGTCGGGACTTTATCCGGCCAACCAAGTTGGGCGACGCCAACAAAGGGAGTATCCAGTAATGATGTACGGTGGACCAACGCTGCTTCATCGACTTTTACAGCCGACGGAAATGAAATGGAACAGGAAAGATTTTGTCCCATTGGGCGTAGATTTCAAGGGGCAACAAACGCTTCCGGAGAGACTATGAGTGTGTTATACTAATTGCCGTAGTGTGAGAAGCTACTGGGGTTCCTTCGTGACCAGTTGTGTGCATACTGATGCGGCTGCTATGTCGTTAACCCGGCGTGCTCGAACCGAGCTTATCTGTGATCTGTTTATAGATTTCGCATGCTACCCTGCTGCTAGACCTGGGTACCATACTGTTGAATGGGTCCGCTTGCTTCTGAAGTGGCAACACAAACTGTGAAGGCTCCATTTACTATGAGTTCTGCAAAAGCTTCAGATGGCATACTGCACTTTAAGAGCATGGGTAGATTGGAGATAATAGTATGTGGGCATCGTAGCCAGTCTGCCACGCGAGCGGAGGACAAGGACCCTGGCACCTTACTAAGACCGACAGCGATGGCCACACATAATTTCTTGATGGTTAATGAGCTTAACCTTCCCCGTGCTAATTGGCATAATGCTGCGCGGCTATTTTGGAGGTCTTGGTGGATTG